TTTCTGTGCGGTCTGTTTATTTATCGTACATATTACGGCAGTAAAAGTCTAATATTTGACAAGATTTAAAGATAGATTGCAAAAACTTTTAGCATTAATATTAGCAAATAATGCATTGCGCGATAAACGAAAGTTTCTTAGAGATACGATCATAAAAATTACATGGTCCTTAATCTCCTAATATAAAAATTGTCCTTGGATTGAATGTGCCAAGTTTTTCTTGACGATTGAAGCTGAGCTATGCTATGTACACTTTTATGTGTGTGGGGGCCACATTCCTGCTGGATTAATACCAAGTTCGCAATTTCATCCACGCCTAAATATTGATACTGAGCAGATGCAATTTAATGGTTTTAATGAGGACAATGCGCGATAATAATTCTTGTGCCCATAGCGTTTAGACTTCAATTACATTTTTGACAGGTACATTTAATCGCAATTCACGATTCCGAACGCTGGCACGACTCGGACAACAAACGACTTTAGAAATAATCAAGTGTCATTCGATAGTTTAGCAAAGACAAAACGATTCCAATTTCCAGCACACAAACGAACTGCATTTGATATTGGATTTGCCTCAACCATGAGTCCAATCTAGTTCTTAATACAATATACATAGTGGGATTTTATAGTAAATAACAGCTTGACATACTTAGATAAGAAGCAGCTTTTCAGTAAAAATCCACACCTTACATTGTATCATTTTTTTAAAGCATACGTCTATTGCTTTACCGTAATTGTTTCCTGATTTTACGATTTATGTATTTCATACAGTTTCTGTTTGTCTAGATTATTTATGGCGCATACTTTGTTTATTTAGTATTTCTTTATTCTTATTGTTTGAATTTCCATTTTATAATGTGCTCATGGTTTGGGTTAATCAGTCACAGTACTTTTGACTTTAATTGAAAGCTTACTAAAAGTATCAAGTTGGAATTGTCTTATTCAAGGTATCCAATCGCGTTGTGGCTTTGAGCCAAATCATAGTCCAATCCTTTGCTGAATTTTTCATAATTGCAGTACAAACTTTTTAAGTTAAAAAAAGACTCTTTGCTGGCTAATAGTTCGAGCACGAGCTCGATAATCCTGACACCTGAGTATTTATATTGGGTTTTTTCCAGTAGCATTGGCGCTGTAGAACCATTGAATACAAAATTATTAGAAGCACTAAAATAACTGCATCTTCAATTAGATCAAGTTTTCAATGATCATTGTTTATTTTCGAAAGTTTATCAAGCAAAACCTCAGTTAATGACTGCAAGAGATATGCTATTCGTCGCAAAATAAGTAAAGAGTGACTATTCGCTCTGTCCAACTTATTTTATTGTTTATTTTTAGTGTATCAAAATATTCATTTGACGAATTGTTCGATATTTGTCAAGCAAAACCCGTTTTTCTTGTTGAGGTTATCAGATTTGTCGTTTGTACCCTTCGTAGCATTCCTGTTCAGTTCTTGTACGCAATCATTTTTCAATTGATTTTATTTTCCAAGGCTTCACCACCATTTTCCGCGGTTTTTTTGAGAAGCCACTTTTTTTTGTCCACTAGTTTTTATTGCAGTTTTCGTGTTTCAACCCGTTAATCATAAAAACCTAATTAATATAAAGGCGATTTTAAGAAAATTGACAAAACTGTCCGTGTGGGTGGATTGTTAAATAGAAGCGCACGTAAATTAATGAAAACACACAATCTTAAGAAAGGTATTAAGAAAACCAGCCTGTCTCTAAAATAAGAGCCCTGACTCTATGAAGGCATCTCAAATGGAAAACGCACTTAATTTTTTATAAATCAATTTAAATAATTCTTACTGAACGTGAAGTGATAATGTTAAACGAACACCTCAACACCGAAAGCATCCAATTTGTCCTAAGGAAAACCAAAATTTGTTCTCACTTCTTTATTCTACTTATTCAACTAGATTAAGCTAAGACATTAATGGCTATTTCAAAATAAGCAAAAACTAGCAGTAAAGTAAATTTTTCCATGAGACTTAGTATTAATTGCAGAGTATGGCATTGCAATGTAACGTATTTAATTTCTTATTTATACAGGATGTTACCTAATATAGACAAAGTCAATGATCCTGAAGAAGGCGTCTGATTTATAAGAAAAAAAGATTTTTTATATAAACGTATGTCTTCACCTCTTTTGTCTAAGATATCGTTTTTTCAAAGCTGGGATTGAGGATTGAGATTCAATTATTTTTGTCAATTTTACAAACGTTTGCCAAGGAAATTCACAGCTCTTTTAATCCTTCCTTAAAAATTTTCAAGTAAAGTGCATTCGAGTATTAACTCCAAGGATTGTTTCGAATTTCAGATCCTTTTTCAAAACAACATAAACGAAAAATCTCAAGTGCATTTATTTTAGATGATACATGAAATCAAAGAACACTGCGACAAAAAAACATTGGGTGAATTGCAGTAAAATAGCAGAAGATATAAATTTTAGAAGTTTTTTCGATCTAAGTGTAAAGAAAACGTGTTTGTTTAAACTCATATGGGGGCATTTGAGACAACGTTATATGAACGAGTAGCTTTAGTTTTGACCTAAATGTGCCTTTTTACGCACATATTAAAACACCTCCGTTATACGGCAGATTTTTTTTATATTTTACTGAACAAAGTACTATTTTTATAATGTTAGTAAATGATGATGCAAGGATGAGCCAGGCAGCCTACCCCAAACTAACTATATGTTATAATTTAATCAGCTTAATACATAAAATGGCTAATAACTCATGGTTGTGTTCCACGCATTAACATGCTTGAATATTGTTATAATTTAAGTAGTTTAGTGATATTTCAGTAGCAATAATGTGGGGGTCAATGTGCAACCCAATCTCCCATTTTCGCCATCATTATCCTGCCATATTTATCACAGTAACCAATTTATTACGAAACGTAAAATAAATTAATTTCGCTCAGTTAAGCAAATGTGCAAATCTGTGACACCCACATTTAATTAAACACAAATCAAAATAAAAGTGGGTGGCGACGGTACCCCCGTAACTATACATATCGCTTACAGTACCCAAAGTTCAATATCTTTTTTAATCCGCTTAAACCTCCTAATTTTTGACAGGATACTTTATGTATTAAATCCGCTGCTAAAATCACTGATACATTGGCCATTACGCAACGTGATAAATCTGATTGTCCGACAAGCCGAACGCTTCGGGCGCACCTTCTCGCTGTCAAATAAAAAAAATCGCGAATGTAATGTTCATGATCACACAAATTTAACATTAAAGATCAATGTTTCGAGGCATAACTGTGCCGTTTCTGGTTTGAAATGTGCGAATAGTTAAATCATCTGAACGGAAAGTAGGAAAGTTGCTGAAACTTGTGCTAACGATCTCTTAGAGATGGAATAATAATTACTCTTTGGCCGGTAAGTTGTTCATTTTTCCAGTGCCGGAGTTTATTTTTGAACGTCGGTTTCAGATATAGACAATTGGCGGTATGGATGAATTTAGCCAATAAAATATCCTGCTTAAGTTCCTACAGAGCTAATGAACGCTTTCGTATTTATTAACAAGCTTTTTTGCTCATTTTGGTCATTAACTCTGTGTGTTAAAGGGCTTCTGTTCTTTTCCGACAACGCTTGAGCATATTTTCCAATATAAATATTTGAAGAGTTGACTCATCCCCAATCTCATTTTGTCTCCTTGGGGAAAAATGGAACGAACTGGGGCGACAACGTTAAAATCAGTCGCAAACTTGTTAGTTTGGAAAGTTTTTCATTTTCCTAAAGAACAATACGGCTTGCCATTTGCTGGAAAATTGAGTACACCTTCCTCGTAAAAGCTTTCAATTATCTTTTTTTCCGTCAAGTTCTCTCACTTGAAACTCATCATATGCGAACTTTCCATAAATCCGGAGTTTATTTGCCACTGTTTATACTTAACGTGGAAACTTTCCAAAAATAACTCACTCTACAATCGAGAAAACTTCAATTCCAATTCCATGTTTCAATTGATTCAAACATGCAGTTGGCAAACAGAATTAAATAAAACTTTAGGGAAATAAATAAACTTACACATGATTCTAATGGGTTTCTGCTACATGTAAATAAATGAAGTTTATAAGGTTAAAGAATATAAACCAGTTTGCAAATTAACTAATTTACATCAAATTTTTCAAAGAGAAACCTCAAACTCACTCATTTTTGTTGGTTATTAAGGAATCAATTACCAAAAAAGCTGTATTTTTACGGAGAAAAAGTGTATTTTGTTAATTTCTTATAAAATGTATCATTAAAGTATTAAATTAGCTGAATTATCTCAATTAAACTAATTTGGTATTCAAATTATTATTTTCTCTTAACTTTTAACCCAAAAAGCAATTAAATTGAATTCCCAAAGTGAAACAGTCAAACAGATAAAAATGATAGAATTTTATTAGCTTTAAAATTATGAAAGGAGTATTTTATTTATTTATAATTTTTCACTATCACTTTCATTATAAAACGTTTTTCAAAAATTAGCTTTTCAGCATTTATGGCAGTAAATTTATTAGTTTAACCAATTCAAAAGCATCATTTATATGGCTAAAAATCAGATGTTCCGACACTGATTTTGCCATTTCCTGAACTTCTGAAATGGTTCCATGCCAATTAATAATAATAGTATCTCACAGCAAAGCTAATACCTTGCTGCGATATGATTACAAAAAAATTCTTGTTTATTATTAGTATTATAGCTTACACTTTCTACGACAGTTCGCATACATATATTATTAGGTGTGTTATAAGCGTGATATTCTAACATACTCTTCAGGCAATTTTTCGAGGTTTTAATTGGGTGTTTGAGAAAAGCAAACGCTAGTTTTTAAATCAAGAACACATTTTTTCTTTTGGTTTCTGCTATCGGTTTCACATGTGCAGAAAGTGTAATGAGCAGCAATTTTTTCAATTAAAAAATTTTGCATTCCTTGCAACAAAAGTATCTTTCCTAAACAGTTTTTTTACTTAACATTACAACTAAATACTCACTCAAGTTTCTTAAACGGTTAACTTTACTAGTCCTTTAAACTTGAGACAGATTTCAGTTCCTCGGGAATCGTTATTTTCGGGTGTTTGTTCAAAAAATGCTGAAGATAAGTCTTTGAATCAGGCATCTGTGCTTTACACACCGAGCAAACATGCACCAAAGCCTTCTGAGCAGCTTTCTTCTGATCGTTCGCACTATGCCCTTGCTGCTTCTTCAGCTTGGCCGCCTTTTCCACAGCTTTGTTTTGAGATTCAATTTTCTGCTTTCCTCTTGCCATTTCAAGCTGCTACACCCTGAACTGCAAAAGTATTTTTGACTGTTTTGTGTTGCTAAACCAACTTGAAAAGTTAATTTTGCTTTGATTCTGATAGCTTAAGTCATAAAACCGGCAAAGGCTTATTGAAACGCGCCTAATGAATTGCCGGAAACGAAAAACCTTTGCAACTGGTAAAAGATCGAAATGTTGGCGACTAATCACATGCTATACCTTCCAACTGGTATATTCCAACTTTGCAACAAATTCAAACAGAATTTTAAATGAGGTGTAAATGCGAGTTTCCGCCGAAGTCGATGAGCAGTCAGATTTGCTCTCACTTACCCAGAGCCTGAGAATCGTGTCTTAATTAAGTGCTCTTTACGTGATTGAGATATCCGGACACCGTAATTTTGCGTAAGTCTCACGATACCGGTAACGGTATGGGAAAAATGCAAATTTTGCAGATTAAATATTGCGTTTTGCGTTATTTGGTCAAAAAACCTGATTACCTAATTGGTACAAGTTAGGCGATCGCTTATCAAAATCTGGTGGTTGGTCAACTTTGTTCCTAACAGTATTTTATCTGGAAGATGCAAACTCAAAAACATGTTTAGAACGCTTAATAATTGTTTCAAGGAAAATTTAGTGTGCCAAATAATATTTTAATTTTTAATGAGGCATGAAAGAGAGCAGTCCTTGATAAAAAGTCAATTAATTGCACTAGTAATGTGGATAAATTTGTCAAAATACTGATCCACATTATGAAGAAAAAAACATATTCTGCTCTACTACCATTACACATATCTGTGTAAATATGTAGATGAAAGATTTATGGTAAAATTGGTCGTTCCCACGACGAAGATGCGTTATAATTTTACCAATAAACAGTTAGTTCCTTACCTTACAAGAAAATGTATTCAAATTTTATGCCGGTCAGTACAGAGGAGAATGGTGGTTTCTTGTGAAACGATAACCTGGAGAAGCATGCAACTATTAGTAGATTTTGGATTTGGGAAGAACAAGCAATATCGATTTGTTTGGGTAGAATTTATGCCAGGTTTGACCCAAAAAACTGGATCACAGTGACAACTAACTGATGGAAGTGGCAAACGTGTTTTGCTTTACAGATAACTTTAGTTTGCAGCTAACTACTTGAGAAACTATTATTGGAAACTGTACTAAAAACTTGCTTGACTTCTCCAGGTTTACCTGTATTTTTTTCTTTGAGTTTCGATCATCCATCAAGAATTTTCGTTTCCAATGTACATGGTTTTAAACTGAAAAAAAAAGGAAATTAATTAATTTCCTAAAAAGCATTTTAATTGCAATTAACTTTATTTACTTTTTGGTAAATATGTTTTTTCTCAATGATTTAGACTATTTTTTCAAATGCGTGCCCGAGAGTTTGTTTTATTGTCCAAGAAATGGCAGTGTTTTATACTGAAAAGTACGTTTTGAACTTCTGGGATTTTTTTGTGGCTCGCTTGCAGTTTCAAGGATTCGGATTTTTTGGAACATTCTGGTGCAAATTTCTGAATTGTCTGTATAAACGGGACCGAGTTATTGAAGTTTTATGTGTAGTGATGCTATAAATTGATAGGTTTATTCAGTGCGAACGCAATGACTTCAAGCATTGAACACTTAATCAAACTGTGAAAAATTAACTTGCTTCATACTGAAAAATATAGAACTTTATTGAAACAAACAAAATAATGACACTTAGAATTTTGCGGTAATCATTTTTCACCAAAAAATGATATTCTGCCATTCAGCAAAAGAGTAAAAAGGATCGACTGCAAAGTCGCTGAACATTACCAAAGGCGATGAGGCAACGATAGAAATTGATTTCCATACCTCCATTCGATTAGTGGCTCTTCAACTCGTGCTACTGCTGTATTTATACCACCCTGTGCCTGTAGAACGGTGGTGGGGGAATAGGAGTGCGCATATCTCGGCTGTAAAGCGCAAAATCTGAATGGCATTTAATGCAGTGTTTGGGTCTGGGTATTTGAGAATCTCAATGGCTTATCCTGTTTGGACCAAAACTTCTACTTCTTTTAAGGAAACTCAGAGGTGTCTTTGCCTGGCTTATCTTTATTAGAGTTTTAGCTCGGCGGTGCACCAGTTTGAAATCTTCCCGTTCCATTTGTTGATGATTTTTGCCCAATAGTTCTGATTGGTTTTTATTCTTAGGGAGAAATGTATTTCTGTTTATGTTGTCCAGACATATATATTCTTGGTCATTTTTGTACGTTGTTTGTACGTTGCCTGCTTTCAGTCTGTCTCTCTCTGCTGTCTCTTAATTTTTCTTGAAAATATGTTTTGGTCAATGATTCTCAATAGCTACCATCTCGTTTGAGCTCTGATACTGATTAAATGGGTCAGTTCTTAGGTTTTATTTCAAATTTATATTTTGCTTTGAATGAGTTTGGATATTTAATTTTCCGTTAGTTTGAAGTTATCCGAATTTCAACCTGTGAACGAAATCTTGAAACAACTAATTACCACTTTTGTTTCTTAGTCAACTTTGGAATCCCAACAATCATCAGAAAATCTAATATTTAGGAAACGGGCAAAATCGAAGTGATTTTAAAAACTACTATGTTAAGACTTCAAACTATTTGAGTTTCCAAGTGACTTTTTTATTGCTCCTTTTTGATTGGTACTCGTACCGTAAAATCCGTTACCGGAATTTATTCATAAAATTGTAATACTCCTGCAATATGACTTAATCCATCCGTCTAAACAACAAGTAATGACAATATTGCGCAGTTGAAATGATACTTTACATGTATTTTTAGCAGTTAGTAATACAGATCGCAAAATTAATAATAGTAATCAATCGACCAGTTGCAAGCACAATAGGACGGCAAAAAAATGATATACATAAAAGTGTAGGTATACAAGATATAACAGCTATTATTACAGCACACCTTAATCAGGAACTTAAATGAATTAAGCAACTTATTAATACATGGATATGAAAAGGTTATATAACTCAGGCACCTACAGCAATCGTCAAACTGAAAACTGTTAAGTCCAGGTAGGTTGTGACAACTTCAGGCAGTTAATTGCCCCTTTTTATCGCTGAATTGGGACGGAAAACCTACGATCCATATGTATTAGCTCATACTCATGGACGTTTTCTATGAAATGTATTTATTATGTAAGGTTTCAATATATTTTATTGAATATTGATTAGGTGGAATCATGGGCGGCTGCTGTATTGAGTTTATGATTTAATTTCAAGAAATTTCATTGTGAGTGTGTGTTACAGAAGTTATTTGCTATTTTTATCGCTTATGTAATAAAGGGTGCTCCAATAAAAACGACGGTTTTGAATTGAGCGCCATTTGTAGTGTCATGATTTGATATTAAAAAAAAGCCGTTCGTTAGTAGACAGCAGGAGGTTAAGTAAAATGAAGCAGTTCAATACAAAACAACAAATTCTCATTGTGAAAAATAATTATCAAAGTAGTGGAAGTTTTGCCACAAGAAGCCACAGTTCACAAAATGCGTACAATTATGGGCCATCGGAATGCTCCAACTGAAGCCACTGTGAGAAAATTAATGAAAAAATTTCAGCAAACTGGGTCTGTTACTGAAGTGAAAACAGAAATCCGCGTTCTTCCTGGTCGCTCGACTGAAAATATCGCAGCAGTACGTGCAAATGTTGAGGAAAGCCCAACCACATCAATTCGGCATAGAGCTCAGGAAATTCGTGTTTCCACAACCACTATTCATCGAATTTTAACAAAAGATTCGAAGCCTTATGCGCACAAAGTTGAATTGGCTCAAGAGCTAAAGCCGGAAGATCATGGGCAACGAACAGCCTTTGCTGATTGGATGTTGGAACAACGACTTTTGGACGGTGGTCTTTCAACGAAAATCATCTTTCGAGGCCCATTTTCATCTTGATGGCTTCGTTAATCGACAAAATTGACGCATTTGGTGTTTCTAAAATCCACGAGTGATCGTTCAGGTACAGATGCATCAAAAAAGTCACTGTTTGATGTGCATTCTGGGCTGGAGGCATCATCGGTCCATTTTTTTTCGAAAATGCAGTTGGTCAAGCATTAACCGTGAGTGGTCAACAGCATGTAGTTTCAACAGGATGGTGCAACATGTCATACAGTCAGAGAAACTGTTGAATTACTGCACGGGTCATTTCCTAGTCGTATTATTTCTCGTTTTGGAGATCAGCATTGGCCGCCCAGATCATGCGATTTAACGCCTTTGGACTTTTTTCTTTGGGGTTTTTTAAAGTCACACGTTTATGTGAACAAACCACCAACGATAGAAGCCTTAAAAGATGAAATTCAAAGCTGTATCTCTGAAATACCGCAAAATTTATGTGCAACAGTCCTTGAAAATGTCATTAAAAAAATCCACTGTCGCTTTTTTCTCCAATTTCCAATTAGCGTAAAGTTTTATCGCACAATCGGCGCCTTTTAAGCTTGATCCAAAAGTGAACTTCACAAATTGAACCACTTTGGAGCTACTCCAAGTAAACGGCTTTCGTTCTAGCACGCTGAACACATTGCATCAAAATAAATCACTTATAAGTCCACAATTTATGGCGCATAATGGCCTTAAAATCAAATTACATAATCTTGCCCAGTCGAGAATTTGCTCTAAATCTTCCATGTTTAACCAGGCAGCGTGCGTTCAAGGTGATCCATATTTAGTTCCCATCTAAACTCAGTTTGTCACCCACGTGCAAGTAGCACAAAGGAATGTGCCGCTACATAAACCAAATTCAAAGAGCGGCTAAAATCCACTGACAGAAATTATTAATTAGGTAGGAATTTTAACTGTTAATATATTTGACACGTCTTAGATAATCTGACACCAGCTTTTCTCGGGTATTATAAAACCTATCAATAATTTCGTCAGAGAGAGGAAAATGAGATGTAGAAGAGATGAGTGAGCTCTTAATAAGGAAGTATTGAACGTCGAGCTTTTCTGTGGGCGGCACTTTTAGACGTGTGAGGTGTATAGTTTGGTAGAGCTATTCATTTTTGTTTATTGGACTTTTACAACAGAAAATAAATTTGGCTGCATCTTGCGTTGTTTCCTTTTTACTCGCACTGTCGTCAACAGAGTGAGAAGAGTCCAGGGAGTAGTTTTGCATAATTACATCTAAAGAAAAGTGTCTGCTTTGTTACTCACCTACTTCTGGAAGTGCTCTGCTTCTTTCTCAATCATTCTTAATGTTGGTCTAGAGTTGCTCAGACCAGGTGGGGCTTGAGCAGCGACGGGAGAAGGTCTGAATATCCACGATTTCTGCAACATTTGCTTTCATCTCTGATTTGAGCCTGAAATTATGCCCGATGAACGGCAGTTTTTCCTTAGAACACCGCAACTACATCTGGGGTCATACATTTATGCTTCCTCGTCTGTCAATCCCAGTGTTAGTGGAGTTTTTTGCATTCTTCTCGGAGTTTGTACTGTATCCTCAACAAGAACAATGATGTACATCTCACAAACAAGGTTCCTGCTCGTTTTCAATCATCGGCTTCTTCTGTCCTGTTCTAAAGCTTTCAAGATATTTCATCTGCAGGGGATTCACGTACATGTCGGGCTCCAATATTTCGACTGGGCCCAGCAGTTTCAACTTTTGTGGGAGTTTGTGTTCTCGTTCTGATAGGAAATACGGGTTATCTCGATGGGTACTACAGGGACAAATACATTTATCATGTTTTCGTGAGTACCTACATATGAATTTGCTTGACTTTCGTCGCTTTGCATTAAAGTTACAATTCTATTGGCGCCAATGAACGTGAAGATGGACAGCATTCAGCGTGTAGAAATTCCTCAACAAGCGCTCCAGGTTTTCTTTTATCCACGTTAAAATCGTTCAAATTTACAAAAAATGTCACTATCTCAGGGTGTAGCTGATCTTTACTCTGTTTTTATTGCAAATTTATTTTTTATTTTGAATGGAAATTTGCTTTTTTAAGATCTTCTAAAACTCTGTGTCTCCATTACATTTTCATCTCAAATAGTATCGGTTGCAGTTTAACAATCCGGATACTTTCTTTATTTGTTGAACGAAAATCGATTCATCACTGCTTACACTCATGTATAGAAAGACATCAATCATTCAGTCTCTTTTCATGTCTGGT